GATTATGGTACTTTTATCAGGTGGTTTGGTTACTAAGACAAGGTTCTGGTTACTAAGATAAGGTACCATTAAACTGGTTTAGTATTTCCAGAAATTCAGGAATGAGGCAGTATTATATTTATTGGTCTTACTGGGTTTCAGAGACCCTCTGACCAACTTGGCACTAGGTTACTTTTGAGCAACGGAATTTCATGAAAATAAATGGAGTTTTATGTTCCTTTTTTCTGATAAAGATGGACGATGCCATTTTGCTCATAGTACATGGTGCCTCAATTTTTAGTTCTGTTTGTAAGCTCAGATGCTTTTTCCATCTGAAAAGTGTCATAATTTGAACAAATCTCTAAAATCATTGCAAAATGATTTGGAAACTGTTATTTCAAGTCAGAAAAGCTTAACTGTGATAATATGAATTCATTTTCTGCAGTTCTTGCAACTCAATTCACATTTCATGACAAAATGTGAAAAATAAAATACCAAAAGTATCTTAAACATCTTCCTTTGTTTTGATAACAATACAATAACAATCAAAATCAAATGAAACAAAGATGAAGACAAAATGATGTCATAAAGTGAATTCAACCCATCAAATCAAATAAAAGAGAAACAAAAACCCACGAGTTTTGATGAGAAATTAGAAGTAATGTAAAAGACAATGTGAACTTTGATAACGCTAGAAACAATGTGAAAATTCTATAGACTTAGCCCCGTCAGACCGACGGACAAACATCAGTGTTTACTTGCTTCAATGTTACAATTTATTTCAAGATTGGAGGTGTGAAAAAATTAACCATCATAGTACCTGTAAAACAATCTGAATCCAGACGACAAATTGTGGACTTTTTGATCAAGGCTACTAAGATAACTGAAGCCTTTATTGATAATGGGACTACATTACAATCTGATTTTCAATTTGATATCAGAGGTGTGAAAAAAAACCATTGTGGTACCTGCAAAAGATCTGTACTCAGACGACAAAAAATATGGACTTTTTGATCAAGGCTACTAAGATGACTGAAGTCTCTATTGATAAAAAGATGAAACATTATCCATCTGATTAATTTTCTTTAATCTGCTCCACGAAATTTGTCGTCTGTGTACATTGGCTGAGGTTCTGTAAAGTATATTTAGAATTGATCGATCCTTCTGGGTCGACTGTTACATTATTGTATCAATTAGGCTCATTATAACGCTTTAAAATAGTAAAAATTTGAGCTTCACACACATAATTTGTTAATTGGATTTACTCATTACATGCATTTTAATCTCTAGCTTAAGGTAATCAGGGGATGCATTAATTTATGCAATACAAATATTCTAATAGGCCCTAGTGCATGATACAGTGTAAGTGAGTGAATGCTGTGTATAAGTGTGTTTTAATGATTTTTACTAATTAAATTGATGAGGTAATTAATTCATTAACGAACTTACCTCAAATCATGAATAATTAAAAATTTAAATCCGTCGTAAAGAGCACATAATCACCTGTTGACTTTCTATGATCACTCTGAATCTTGAGTGGGATATTTTACCATTGTCAACGTTGTAACACAGAGCACCTTTCAACTCTTCTATTTACTTTTCCCATGAAGTTTCTCGTCATTTTTTTCAACAAAGCTCAGTTGAATAAGCGCGGATCTAGGCTTTTGTTTTGTATTATTATCAGTTATGTAACAACTAATACACTCAGTTCGAGACCTTAAAAACATGTTCCTATTCACCTTTCAGTTATTGGTATCTAAATGTATGTACACACACTATTTTACTAACAAAAATATATTTAGTATCTGCCTCTCTTCTGTCAAATCAGTTTTCTCTCTCACTGCAGGTAAATTGTCAAAATATCCTTGGGAACAAGAGGCCAAAACATTTAAAGATGTCAGAAATAAAGAGAATTAATGAAGAGATATAAAATGATGTCTATGAGTTAGTGTAAGGTGGATTAAGTGCCTGTATTGGTTGTATTGAGTATATGTAAGTGGAGAGGAATTTCGTCTGGAGAAATTTGTAGTTCTATTTCATCTTGGGTGAGCTGTATATTATTGAGATTGGAGGGGGCTGACATGGCAAAAGGGTATGGATGAGACAATTTACAGAGGCCCCATGTGCAGGCTATGCATGTTAAAGATCCCTCAACAGTTGGCAATCAAAAAAGAGCAGACTATTCCACTGTCTTATAATTTCAAAGTATAGTCCTTTTACTTGAGAAAATTTTTTGAAAGAAAGTACCGGTAAATCAATTCTTTTTTTGGATTCAATATCTGCTACTACTTTGAACAAAGTACCAATAAAAAGAATTGTTTTTTTTTTGCAAGGAATTTAAAAAATTTGAAGACAACCAGAGGTGTGATCCAATTTAAAAAGCCCTTGCTTTGTTGGTGAGTTTGTATTAATTTGAATTTAAAAGAGCAGATATGGTTTTGTCATTCATGACAGTATCCAGGTAATTTCAGGATTGTGCCAATTGCCTGAGTTATACTGAATAATTATTTATACATCATATATCATGTTAATGCAGCATTCTTGCATTGGGTGTGAAGAATTTCTCATAGATGAAAAAAGGACTTGTGCTCAAAAGTTCCATATAGGTGTGAAAGAGTTTCATAGATGAAAAAAGCAACCAGACGTGCTCAGCAGTACTTTAAAAGTGTGAAGAGTTGTGTACCTTTGTTGTGTCTGATAAGGAAAGGGTAAAGGTCATTCACATGCAAGCAGTCAATTCCCACAGATATCCTCAATGTCATTTCACCAATCGATAACATGTTGTTTGTTAGGTAAACTTATTCACAGTCTAAGATTGAAGTTGCATACACAAATTTTTATGTTCAAACTTTCGCATATTTCTTTATTTTCAAGTGTATTTTATGAAGAGGGAAGAGTTGTATTTCCATGAGTAAAGTCAATATTGTATTTGAAGAAATACAGTGCAAATCATTATTCTTATAAAATTTAGTCCAACGATTAAATTCAAGCTTTATATCTACTGTTCTACTTCTGAACTATTGAAGTAAGCAATGAGGGAAATTTTGAATGATTTTTACTCCATTTGGATTTCTGATAATATTTTAAAAATGAAATATGGTCATCTTCACAGAATTTTGAAAAATTAAGCTTATTTGATCAATAAAAAATTCAACACCTCTTTGGAAGGTATTTGACTAATGTGAACCAGGATCCTATTTATTTATAAAATAAGGAAGTGTGGTTTAAAAGTCGGATTTTCTTATTTTTTAGTGTCAAATTAAGCAAACTATTTCATTAATTGTTGTTTCTAATGAATTATCAATATCATGTATTCGTAATCATATCATTGTGTTCTTATTGCATATAATTAAGAGTTTTAACCAATCATAAATGTCCATGTAAGTACAGTCTGGATAAACAAAAAATGACTTTTTGATCTTTTTTGAATGGTCACTCATTGGAATTCTACTGGTAATTCTCTTCTACATTAGCTAATTATGAATTAATTATGGACATTCATATAAGTATTAGCATTTTCTTCAATGAAAATAAGGGAACCCATCTTTAATCAATGATGACAAAGATCAAATTTTGTAGAATTTGCATCGTTTAATAGATGACACTATAGCTGAAGGATACCAAGCTATCATATGATTTCCATGCCTATCCTAAGCTATATATGGGCTGAATATGATTTGACACCCTTAAATTTTACAAATGAGCTGTTCCAATTAAAAATATAAGTATGCATGTGTGGAAGGGTTCAATAAAAAGTTGAGGGGTATATTACTATTTGAGATCTGAACAGCAGTAAATTACAACCCTTATTTTATTGTGTGGCTGATACAACCATGTTTGAATCTAAACACTGATTCAGATCAATTCAAGTGAAAAAAAATATTAAACATCAGTTAAAGCCAATGGAAAAGATATTTGGGTAAATAAAATAAATTTTTTGAAAAACACTGCCATTTTTATTTCTAACGTGTGCGCAACCAATGGTGGGAATGTGCCCAATTGTCGATAAATACCACCAAAAAATCAACCATTAAATTCAACATTAGGGTGAAGAAGTTTAGATCATAGGAAAGTCTTCAGCCCGTCTGTAATCAGGGGTCAGACATCTTTAAGGTAACTATGACTTTACCTTGTACATTCACGGCAACCTGGAAGACCAGTCGATTATATTTTTATAAGGATAACAACTAAGGTTCACAAGGATCCTTTTTACCAGCTTGGCATTAATCTTTTCCCTAATTATCAGTACCGGTACCCATTTACAGCTGGGTTGACTGTGGACTCAACGATGACTGAGATTAAAACCCATGACCACCATTTGTTTGAGTAACCAAGCAAATGATATCATGCAAAGTTTTCAACACTTTGACCTACAACAACCCTTCAGTAATAAAGACTCAAAATGAAATCTTACAAATGTTTATTACATTAGATTTATTCACTTAATCCATAATGATCTAAACAAACTACTCATCACCTTTGAAAGATATAGTCTCCTTTCATCCACAGACAAGTTTTTCATAATTGAAGTCCTACAATTCAAACACACTTGTTTTCTTGCAGCAATTCTGATAAGAGCTATGAGCTCTTCAGTCACTATACCAAATATTGTAGTAAATATTAGATATTTTGTAACATAATATGTAGTTATACCAATAATCACACGATCACATCATGTCATCTTCATTTTTAAACATTGGAATTCGCATTCAATATTTTCAAATATATTAGTCACTTCCATTATCACATTTTATATATAAACATCTTGTCAAATAGTTTATAACTAAGCACTGTATAGACACTATACCAATATTATCTTTTCCAAGCAGGCAATATATTTGTCCTAGGTTTGGGTTTAGATTGTTCCATGGCCTTTTGTTTCTCCTGTTCTTCCTGAATTAAATGATTTAAAAAATTCATATTTAAAAGAAACCTTTTCATACAGATATTGTACACTAGCATTCAACCCTTTTAAATGTTAAAAAATAACATCATATACCCTGAACTCTAAGTAATATGACTTAAAGCTGATGCAGGTGAATGTGTAATTGTAGACTAGCCCAATGTTTGATTTTCATTTTGTAAAGTGTTACAGATAGATTGATTTCAAGTGAATTACCTTGTAAAGTAAAATGTTTTACCTGAAGACGTTTTAGATTTTCTTTAAATACAGCTATAGGATCATCAAATTGTTGATAATATTCTAACACAGTTCTAACATCTTCTACACCACTGGATGCTACAGCTATAATATCAACATTAATATCAACATGGTGTCATCAGAACTGATCAAATTGACAAGTATCTTATAAAAAGTGTTACTAAAAATTAATTCAAAAGGGTTCTTTCTTAAGAGATAACTTAGAAGAACAAGAGCCTAACATCTTCTACACCACTGGATGCTACAGCTGTAATATCAACATGATGTCATCAGAACTGATCAAATTGACAAGTATCTTATAAAAAGTGTTACTAAAAATTAATTCAACAGGGTTCTTTCTTAAGAGATAACTTAGAAGAACAAGAGCAATAACTTTTATCAAATATTTCCTGTTTTGATTTTCATTAGGGTTCATGGTTAAGTTTAATGAACAATTTTACCAAATTTTATCAATCCATCCTGAATTCTGCCTTCTAGAGTATTACCAGCAAAAAATTGCATGCCATCTGTAGAACAAACAAGGGCATTCTCGGGTGATATTGAACACATGTGAAAGTAAAAAAGGTATGTATGACATATATATTGCTTGAGTTCTTAACAACTTTAGGTATAAAATATATCAGCATCAGATGTACTTACTATGGAGGAAATTTCCAAGATCATATAATACTGTATCTTCTTCTCCTTTCCATGGTTTAATTATTAAAGAATTATTTCTGTGCAGCTGAACAGAATCTAGATTACTATCTACCATAATAACTTTAGATAAATCTCTATTTAAACAGTCCAAATCCTACAATATCAACAAAATTGTTTAATTCTCATTCATAAACCCAAATCAAACTGGTTTGCCATTTTTGGGGTTGATTTGAATATATGTAATTGTAAATAGTCTTCAGAAATACAAGAAATGTCCCAAAATGGCATTATTCCTTCAAAAATACCTCAAACTAGGAATTTTCACTATTTCCATATATGTCTTTTCAATATGATAGAGAAAGTTAAAAAGACTATTTTGGTCAAAAATATTCAAGATGCTAAATGTGTTAATGTGTTGCTTCTTGTTGTTTGGGTATGTACATGAAACAATAAATTCTTCTACTTCAGTAATCATTCACATCTTATACCAACCTTTATATGAACACCTTTTTTATATTTTGTAGTATCTCTATATAATCTGTAGGTGATATAACCTTGTGGATCTAGATTGTTTACTATATGATCAGCAGTCTGTAAGAAAATATAACATTTTTTTAAATGGTGTATATATATATATAACTTTTCTGCACCTGCCAATGAGGTCAATGTCATGCAGTGTGCAATTAATGAAATTTTACCATAACAGCAGCATTATCCTACTCTTTTTCAATTTCCAACTGTTGAGGGATCTTTAACTGGCTTAGCCTGTAGCACACAGGGATGCGGTTTCTTGACCCATCCAGGTTGAAAAATCTGTAGGTGTTATCTAGGTGTTGAACCCCAGACCTTAGGGGTTAGCGTGCAGATCCATATTTTGTTTCTCTTCCTCCACATTCAAACAATGACCTCTACTAAGGTCCTCTTTCACAAAAAGTCTTAACATGAAAAATTAATCCCAAGATTCAACAGTAACAAAATATCTGACTGAAGATAAATTTTTATTTTCAAATTTCAGAAGTGAAAGAAGGCTTAAGGACAAAAGATAAAAAAAAAAACCAGGGTATAACCTTTTAAAAAGAAAGTAAAGAAACTTACAAAACCATTCTCTGCTGAATATATTACTACTTCAAACAATGGTGGACCAGCTTTCGATAAAAAATATTCTATACCCTTTCTTTTCTTAAATCTCCAGCCTGTATTCAGCTGAAAGAAAATCAAATCAATAGAAAACAGTAGAAACAAATCAAAATCAAAGAGGTTTTTCTTAATTTTGTATGTGTAATTGATAGCATCCTAATATACTATTTCCAAACCTCCTTAAGATAAGAAAAATTCTTATGAAAGCCTCTAAGAGTGAGTCTGATGTCGGCTTCATCCCTAAAATCTAACTTACCCCCCAGTCAGGATGGACTAGAACATCAGTCATTTCTAACACCAGTGTATAGCGTGGTTGATGATAAGGGTATTCTAAAGGATCTGGTAGCAACTTGGTTCTAGATGGTTCAGCTATTTCCTTCAATTACATAAATATAAGGAAATTGAACTTATAACAATAGCAGTGACATGGAACTGTACAGTGTATAAGACAGCTGAATTGAATTGAAATGTCTCCTTTCCATTGTCCATTATTTCTGTGTGAAAAACTGTCTATAGGACATCCTAACGCTAAGAGCGTTTCAAGAATACCCTGCCAAATATTCCAGGACTCAAAAAAAACTGTAACCTTCATAGTATTAAAACAAACACTTAAAGAGTTTTCTAAAATTTTTATGTACTTATTAAGAGCAATGATTTGCAACATTACAATTTTCATTACCATGCTTGGACAACAACCAATCTCTAATCATCCAGTTATGTTAACTCTTCTCTAAAGTACATGATGTTAATGACATAGAAGAATAAATTAACAGAACTTACTTTTTGTACAAATTTAGCTTTATCATAAGCTCTGCGTATGTGAGCTACAACAATATTTGCTGAAAAAATAATATTTGTTAGGAATTATAAAATCAGAAATAATTCAAAGCTGTCTTAAAAAACAGTTGGACCAAGAATATCAATATCAATGATAGGTTGATTTAAAATATTTGTGACTCTAAAATTAGAAAAAAACTTACAATCACTATATTCATCTTTAATCTGAAAGAAAAAATAAATAAAATGATATTCAGGAGAAAATCAGGTCAAATAAATATCAAAATGACCTTTGAAAATGACCCTACTAAGTTGTTTAGCAAAAATGGCTATACATTTTGTGAAATGGATTTCTTCAAATGAGAAGTCCAGTGACCTTGAATGAGTTATCTTTCTTCATTATTCTAGTCAACCCAGCTCTAAATGTGTAGCGTATGAAACATGTCATCTGTCTTCCTTATTCCAGTCTCAACTTGGCTAATAACAGTGTATATTCATCAGTGTGCTTAACTATTAAACAGAATCCTTTATGTGACCATTAAGTCTTAAACTATGTACATGTAATGATATTAACAAGGCTCGTCCAGGAAATATCAATATTAAGTATTTTTGACCAAGAAATATCTGATAGACTATGAATGATTTAACTTACTGGAGTACCATCAATATCTGTTTCTTCAGCTCCTGTTAATATAAATAACAAAATTCTGTTAGTCAGTCTTTCATATCAGAGAAATGAGAGAATTTAGTTTGAAGTTCAGAATCATGGCCTTTGTTTATTAGGCCTATAGATTTTGGAGATATGGACTAAGCTTAGCATTTAATGGCATTAAGAAAGATTAACATAATGTGGTTTAAAACATTTGAAGCATATGACCTTTATTCAGTGCAGAACAGGCAAATGTTAAATTAAATTGTATTCAAATTCTGCAACTTACCAAATAGCGAAATTGAGCCTATAATACAAAAGGAAAGTGAACCCAATGCTACCCTCGACAAGATTTTTAAAAATTTATTATCTGTCTTCTTTTCCTTTTTGCCTTCATTTTTGTCATCTTCCTTTTTGTCGTCTGCATTTTCCTGATTATCCTTGGCCTGTGATGCAAGCTTTGATTTGAGGATTTCATCAGTCAAGTTTCTCATTTCATTTGAGCCATCTTTTTCAGTGGAGTAAAACGTAACAAGGGCAGAGTGCCATGGGTATTTAAGAATGCCAAATGCATTTAGCCTACTTGCATAAATTCTAGTTCTATTTGCAACACTAAAGCATCGTTTGAGATTTTTAATCGGTGTTTTTCTTAATAAAAACATGCACTGTCTGTAGGCTGACATCTTGGATTTTATTATCATAACGTAACCAAATATTTATTGGCTGTAGCCAGTACGTACCCACCATAAGTATTGTGAATTAAATTCATTCGTATTTCTAAACAACATAAGTTGAAATTATGAGTGAAGAATTACCAGTACTTGGATTAACTTGAAGACCATGATTTTTTTTATCAGCTGTTCAAAAATGCAAAGTGAGTACAGTGCTGTAAATCAAGAGAAGACAACTGGTTTATTTTGAACGGAAGTAGAGGAGTATCGAGAAAGCATGGTTTTTGTTGACAGTAGATTCGAATGAAGAGAAAACAGGACAACAATTTGGATAACATGGCTTCGAAAGAGAAGAAACACAAATCAGTGTACTTGGGAGATCCCAAACTATTGGCTAGAGTAAGAGAGGTATGTGTAGAAATTCTGGTCTGACTATGATATTCCACGACTTCCATCCAGGTTTGAGTAAGGTCTCGTTGCCAGGTTTTCCTTCTCCTGGGCTTCTGTCAGTAATGAAAATAAATAATCAATCTTCTATCTTAAAAATATATCTATGACTTCTGCTACAGACTACAGTGGCTGTTCTGGTTCACAATCTACCCAATGCCAATGGACAATTGTTTCCATATCAGCATAAGGGCACAGTGCCTTTTATTATTCACAGCTATCTATAATTGGCATTTGATAAATCTGGAGTCTTTTATTGCAGATAATCTTATTCACAATCCATGGTTGGCAATATAAAAATATGGTTACATTAATGATTATTAGTAGATAATCTCACTGATTGAATTAGACAGGATATCATTATTATGTCAAATTAAAATGCAGACTTATTTCTGTTAGATTTCTATAATTAATTTGTTTAAATCTCTTATTTCAGTATATAGATATTAATGGTGCCCGAAAGACTGTTAGTGAAATTGCAGAAGATTTACAGCTCCAATACAGGTAGCTCTTCTGATCTCTTTCTTTGAGCAAATCTTGACACCTCTCGACAAAAGCAATTTTTAATTTTGTAGTAAAAGTCAAATCAAACATTCCCTGGTAGTGCATTATTAATATTGAAATGCTGTTAGCTTACTAGATTTGGTAGATCAGAAACTCTCAATGTTGATGCTGTTGAGAATTATAGTTTTTAAAATGGACTTGTCACATGTATGCTTATTTATTTATTGATATACTTTCACATCTAAATGACAATAAGGTAATAGAATTTTGTTTGATAATCTTTTAAGGGATTACACAAGGAAGAAGAAAGGAGCTTTTAGAAAATCAGTAGAAAAGGGTTAGTTTTGATAAAAAATGAATAGAATTGGACACTTGTTAACATCACATGAAATAAAGCAGATCATCTTTCGGTTTTTAGGTCTATGTTAAAAGTACCAGTACTACAAATTTATATTTTTACATATTAACCTTTACATTGATTGCTTTGATTTTTATCTTGTAAAGGAACTGGGCCGTTATCTAGATCAGGAGGCAATTTTAAGATTATGACATTGTTTTAAGGAATTTTACCTCTTAGAATGAAGATAAAATTTAGATTTTCAAACTTGAGTTTAGGATATAAATTGTGCATTAGAAGTGGTAGTATCTATTAAAAAATATAAATATATGTTTCTAGCATATTCTATGATGCATATAAAACAAGAAGGAGATGGACTTACAATCTTAGAAAAGGAATATTTAAAGAAGAAAACCAAGAAGACCATAGACAAAAGGTAAGAAATTACTAAAATTTTTAGTTTGTGAAATTGGTTGCAACTGCTAGTATTCAATCTGATTAAAATGTGAATCTGGATTGTTTTTTTTTATGTTTCCTATGCTTGTGACTCCATTTTCTATCCATGATATTTTAAAAGTAAAATCCTAAATTTTGCGTTTGAGCAATGTCTCCATTTGCTATCAATGATCTTATATGATGATATTCATATTGTTTTAAATTTTAATAGATATATTCCAAATTTTCTGTTTCAGCAATGACAGTGATTCAGAGAAAAGTTTTTCATCTGATAATGAAGAATATATGATATATGAGGTAATATATTTTGTCCTTAGATAACATGTTTGATTGGTTGAAATCACAATTTTAAATCTAATCAGAAAACACATGGCAATAATCAAACGCCTCATACCGAGTTTCACAAAAAAGATATTTTCTTTAGATAATCAAAGATATAAATATATTATCTGTGTCAATATAATAGTGTTTATTTGAATTTTACCATATACAAAAAATACCCTAAATACATCTCTGTACAAATTATCCAGTCGAACAAACTGTATTTATAGAAGGTAACATAATAGAACTCATGCAGTTTTTGTCATCTTCTAATACTATTTCAGGACAGAAACTCTATGAATAACTTTATGAGTGATATGTATAGAACAAGTAAAACAGAGCCAGAACCAGTGTGGTCAACACCCTCTACTGAGAAAAGTTTAAATACAAAATCGACTAATATTGATACCTCACTTCAAAATGGACAGACTAAAGAAATTGAGGTTGAAGTTAAAACCAAAAGAAAAATTACAAAGGTATTCATTTAGAACATTTTCGAATGCATGTGTTTAGCTAGTCAAAGTCTTTGAGGTTTCAAATAGGCATTGTAAAAATGGCATGAAATAGCCATCCCAGATTATTCCAGATGGAAAAAGACAAAGCCATATATGAGCAGAAATAGTAGCATGGCTGAATGCTGAACTAAACTTCTAATTAATAACCCACTGTTTAAATCAGGTAGAGGAAACTCCTAACAAAAAGAAAAAGAAAGAAAAAGAAAAAAAAATACCAGAAATCCAAGCATCTACTGTGAAATTTAGTGATATTGGTGGAAATGAAGAAACTTTAAAAGTAAGGACATCATCTTTTTTTTATTCTGAAATTTGGGTTGAAATTTCAGCCTTCACACTCTGGAACAGTCATGAGGAACTTTCACACCCCAAAAATTTGTTTTATCAGCATTTTCAGCATGGGATGATGTGAGGTGCTCTCTCAACTCAAAATAAGTTCTCCTACACTAGTTGGCCACACTCCGGACACCCTAGTCCCACAACCCCAGGGGTGAAAACACCCAGGTTAGGAACCAGAGATATATACCAAAGCATCACTTATTCACTTTAATAACATGAAAATGATATCATTGTATATGGTATATATAGTCTAATATTTTGATATTATCTAATTTTCTGCAGGAAGTATGTAAATTATTGGTACATATGAAACATCCTGAAGTATATAAACAACTAGGTGTGACCCCACCTAGAGGATTTTTATTACATGGACCCCCAGGGTGTGGCAAGACCTTATTGGCTAATGCAATAGCAGGGGTAAGTTTGAATTAATGCGTTCTATTGTGGAACAGACACCTAATTTTTGAAACAATGCTAAATTTTAGAAGTGTCTTGTTTTTAATTGTGCGCTTTTAGTTCACCAAGACCCCCATTTTTTACATGAAATTTAGTTTGCTCAAAGGCCTTAATATGTTCTGATGTCATGATTATGAGCACAAAGACAGAACTTTGTGAAAATGATTGCATGAAAGCTGGCATGATAAAATTATTTATATGTGATCTTACTTGAATTTAAATGTTTTCTCTAGGAACTTGGTTTACCATTTATTAAACTAGCAGCAACTGAAGTGGTATCAGGTGTTTCTGGTGAATCAGAGGAGAAGATTAGAGATCTATTTGAAAAAGCTGTTGTAAGTTTCTTTAGATTTTTCTATTGATTACATTATGTGATATAGTAGGGCAATATTATTAAATAACACCAGCAGTTCATTTCTAGGTTAGGGGGATAGACTTTATCCAAATAGCTTTTTATGAGGCGTTGAATATTATTCAGTCAGAGCGACCTTCTTTAATATTCATGAGTTTTGTCTGTGTGTTTATATTTACACAACAAACCATATTTATAAGCGAATTGATTGGCAATATAGAAAATCACATGAGATCATGAATATGAGGTTTGTCTACTAAAGTGAAACATAGTAGAAATGTGTAAAAGTTTTGAAAGTGTTGAAGAGACATTAAAGGGGGAATAACTTTGTTTATGATTACAGTCTAATTCACCGTGTATAGTGTTTATGGATGAGATAGATGCTATAACTCAGAAAAGAGAAACAGCATCTAAAGAGATGGAAAGAAGAATTGTCACTCAGTTATTAGCCTGTTTAGATGGTAAGGAAGAAAGATTCTGTTTTAAATGCTCAGAAGACACATTTCTTCATGAGAACCCTACATTTGATACACAGGTGATTGGAGTTACAGGTGCCCGGTGGTTTGAAGGAATCCAAATTTCATAGTATATTAACAAACTTGTTCTTCAGTATTGAAATGCTGCAATCTACTTAATTCTCATCTCATGCCTCTGACATGTGACACTGATGCAAAATTATCAAGACAGATTCTCCTTTAAATAGAGCTTAATTGTCCAATACATTTATGGGCTTTAGGCTTATGGCTTAGGTAAGCCAACTTAAACAACAGGATGGGAGGTAATTCTTGGACTTATATATTTGCCATTCAATTACTGAACCAAGTTGCATGTGTTATATTAACAGATTTAAACAGTAAATAGGAGCTACCAATAGACCTGATAGTATTGATCCTGCTTTAGGCTTATGAGCAAGATGAGAGAAGTCACTGAATAGGATGGGAGTAGTTCTTACACTTAAATAGTGTTATTTATTATTAATAGTGTGATCTATTATATCACAAAACTTAAAACTAACTCATTTGGTATATATATTAATAGATTTAAACAGTAAACCAGAAGCTAATGTATTAGTAATAGGAGCTACCAATAGACCTGATAGTATTGATCCTGCCTTAAGACGTGCTGGAAGATTTGATAGAGAAATATCATTAGGTATACCTGATGAATCAGCCAGATATAGGTAGGGTCATATTTTGACTCCCCCCTCCCTATTCGCCCTAAAATGAGGTTGACCTCACCCACTTCCAAAATGCCCCCTGACAATTCCTTGTCCAATCATATCTTTTTATTACACGAGGCAATGCTTAGTAGATAGCCTTCTTTTGAGGACAAAATATCTCCTTATGTTCGTTCCCTCTTGTAAACATATTTTCCCCCATGCCTCATTGATATCAGATTCTAGATTAATGGTGTAGTGGTTTCATCTTATTATTTTAGAATATTACAAGTACTGTGTAGAGAATTAAGATTATCAACAGATTTTAGTTATGAATCACTAGCTCATAATACTCCAGGTTTTGTTGGTGCTGATTTATCAGCTCTAGCAAGGGAGGCAGCCATGAATGCTGTTAATAGGTAAGAAGTCAAGTTTTTGTCATATATTTTGTACTGAGATACAATTGTTGACTTTTTCTTTTTGTCAGGTTTTTGATATCCAACACATTAGTTGTGTCTGGTCTGTCACATGGAATTCTGGGATATTCAGTTTTAGTATAAATTGATATTTCTGAACTTCACAAAGATTCTATGGCTTTGATGAGATAACATGCTTCATGAATTTGGTGCTCAAACATTCCACAAGAACAGAAAATTTTTTTTAATGTAAATATTTGTAAATTTCAGAATATTTAATGAAGTACAGTCTCAGTCAGAGATACCACTGGTTTGTGATGATGTCAATATCAAAGATCCTGAACTTTTAACAGGTATGATGATCACATTTATACATCTTCCTGAATTAGTAATTTTTTAGTTCTAAGGCCATGGAGAAGGATCCTGTCTGCTTGAGTGATGCTTGTGACTATTTATAGATCAAAACAACATTTAATGTTGGCTTCTATTTAATCTTTTCGAATGACCAGCTGGTAGAGTTGTTATTTGTGTAAAATATATATGGATATTTATCCTTTCTATTATCATATCCCATAATAAACTTATTCTTGTGAAACTTTTTCTTTTGACTTTCTGTTTGTTGGTTCACTTGACAAAGTGAGTGACATCAGTTAGTGTGCAATTTAGTAAAATTTTGATGTAAAACTCGATTTTATTTTCCAGTGTTACAATGGTTAAAAGAACAACCTCCATTATCAGATCACCAACTACAGAATCTCTTCATTACTATGGAAGATTTTCAGGTATGTTGAGAAGATTATAAGTCAGTTTGTTTATTTTCTGAACTAAGTGTCCATAACAGTATGATAGCATATGAATAAAAAAACTTATCTAATGTACTTAACAGAACAGGAAACTATTGATATGGAATGAAATGAAATTGCCTCTTGATGATTGAAGATGTTGTATGATAATAATATTTACTTATTCATGTCAATAAATAAAATGCAAATCTGGATGTTCTGTAGGTGACAGCATCTGTCATTCTTTATCTTTCTTATTCAACCAGTCAAATGCTGTGTTCATTTTTATACGCCCACTTGAAATGTGGGGTGTATATTGCCGTCACCCGTGTCCGTCGGTCCGTCCACAATTGCTTGTTAAAACTCTACATGTCACAATTCTTTAAGGATTTTGACGAAACTTGCTGAAATTGTTTATTATCACCCAAGGATGAACCCTATTGAAAATCAATAAAATCGAAAAATATTTAATATGAATTATTGCCCCTGTTCTTTAAAACGCGTTCGATTTTTAGCTCGTTAACACTCTAGAAGGGATAATTCTTGATGGATTTTAACGAAACTTGGCATGAGTGTTTGTTATCACCCAAGGAAAAACCCTTTTGAAAATCAGAAAAATCGAAAAAATATTTAGTATGAATTATTGCTCTTGTTCTTGAAAACGCGTTCAAATTTAGCTCTTAAACACTATAAGGCATGATTCTTGCTGGATTTTGACAAAACTTGGTAAAAAACACTCTACAAGTCACAATTCTTTACGGATATCGACAAAACTTGCTGAAATCTTTTATTATCACCCAAGGATGAACCCTATTGAAAATCGATAAAATCGAAAAATATTTAATATGAGTTATTGCCCTTGTTCTTGAAACGCTCGTAAACACTTTAGAAGGTGCAATTCATGATGGATTTTGATGAAACTTGGTGTGAGTGTTTGTTATTATCCAAGGATGAACCCTATTTAAAATAAGATAGAACGAAAAATAATTAGTATGAGTTATTGCCCTTCTTGAAAACGCGTTCAATTTTTAGCTTGTAAACACTCTTGAAGGCACAATTCTTGACATAATTTATTGAAACTTGGCTTGAGTGTTTGTTATCACCCAAGGATAAAGCCTATTGAAAATCAGAAAGATTGAAAAATATTTAGTATGAGTTATTGCACTTGTTCTTGAAAATAGTTCAATTTGTAGCTCGTAGAAACTGAAGAAGGCATGATTCTCGCGCTGAAGATTGAATATTTATCTTCTAGAGTTTTCACGAGCTAAAGATTGAACACGTTTTCAAGAACAAGGGCAGTAACTCATACTCAATATTATTCAGTATCGCCCTAAAGAGTTCAAATGAAGTGTATAACTGAAGGTTGAATATTTCATACTGGTGATTGTTACTGTACTGCTAAATATTTTTATTCAAAATCAAAGCTGCCAGTGGGCGTATATTACCTTGCCTGGCAAGCTATCTTGAAAATTTATTTTGCTATATGAGGATTTATTGTTAACTTATGTTCTCTTTTAGCAGTTTTTTTTATTCCACAGAACACAATTTGAAATGGAATCTTGTCAGATTATGTATGGGGAATGTAGCAACCCATAGAAAAAACACAAAACATATTTTAATCTGATTGTAAAGTGACATTATATTATGATTTCAGTCAGCATTGAAACATGTTCAGCCATCAGCTAAAAGAGAAGGTTTTGCTACTATACCAGATGTTACATGGGATGATATTGGTGCTTTAAAACAAGTTAGAGATGAACTACAGTTAGCCATATTGGTAAATCTCTTTTATAGTAAATAGGTTCAGAAATATCAATCAGAACCACCTAGAAAATCCTGAAATCAACTTGATATTGGCATTGGTCAAAATCATTTTAGAATGTAGGCACCACTATCACAGCAAAAGTTACTCCATTGCACAACGCATGGTCATTATCAATAACAGATAAGATGCAGAATTAGTAAAACTCCCCTGAAATCAATAACGAACCATATATTTTGTAGGAATGAGTCAAACAGCTATCACAGTATAAGTCTAAATACTTAAACATCTATTTTGTAGGCACCAGTCAAACACAGTGCTGAGTTTAAAGCTCTTGGACTCACATCACCTCCAGGAATATTATTAGCTGGTCCTCCAGGTTGTGGTAAAACATTACTGGCTAAAGCTATAGCTAATGAGTCTGGTATTAACTTTATATCTGTCAAAGGTCCTGAATTATTAAACATGGTACATATTGTTTCGAATTTTCCCTTTTTATTGTATCACTTGTACTTGTGCAAAAGTGAAAAAATATCAAAACAGGACCTAAATTATCTTGTTCCAAAGAGTTTCTTAACAGAAAAAGTGTCAATAAACCAAGGCCCATGTGCAACAGGCTGTGTGTGTTAAAAGATACCTCAACAGTTAAAAATTGAAAAAAGAAAAGGCCAATGCTGCTGTCCTGCAAAATTTCACTCATTGAACATTGCCTGTCCTCAATTACCCAGTAAGGTGCAGAAAATTAGGATGTAAAACTCAATTTAATTTCCCTTTCATTGTTCTTGGAGATAAAATATTTATGACATTAGAAAGTCAGTTGTTTGTTGGCTCTGTTCTCATTTCCACCAAAACATCAACAAACATGATTTATATTTGTTCATAACATTATCTCTGTATAATTTTAGTATGTCGGTGAAAGTGAACGAGCCGTTAGACAAGTGTTTCAAAGGGGCCGTAACTCCTCTCCATGTGTGATATTTTTTGATGAAATTGATTCCCTTTGTCCTAGAAGATCTGCTGCAACAGATGTTAGTAAATTATTTGAATTGTTTAAAATCCAAATCTCAAAATATGCAATATCAGTCAAGGCCCTTTCGTGGTAGTGTTCCGCTTATTTATTATTATCTCTACCCCTAAATGTTGCTTAAGAATTATTTAAGTATTCTTATTCCATCCATTTCTCAAAATAAAAAGAAAGATGAAAGCATTTGTTACTAGCTGGTCTTTGGCCATAAGTTTTTGCATTGATCTGTTCTGAAAATAAAGGATCAAGTAGTCATCTAACAAATTTCAACCTAATGATTTCAAACAAATTCAAATTCTCAATACTACTTCAATGCTTACAACAATTTTTTCTTCTAAATTAAAGGGAGGAGCCAGTGTTCGAGTTGTCAATCAAATGTTAACAGAGATGGATGGATTAGAAACTAGAAAACAGGTTTATATTATGGCTGCTACTAACAGACCAGGTAGGTATTTAACTTTGTTCTGAACTCTCCAAACTTAAATTTTTTTGAAGATAAATTCATTATTCTCAGATTTTGAATTCTATGGTAATTGCTCAATATATTTGCTGAACTATACCAGGGTAATTTTGTAATCTGACACATCCTTAAATATTCAGATCTGATGGTAATAATCACTAATTGATGTATTCTATTTGATATTGTATAGATATTATTGATCCTGCTATACTACGACCAGGTAGATTAGATAAAACATTATATGTTGGTTTACCTACAGTAGAAGATAGACTGGAGATTTTACTTACTATAACAAAGGTATGTTTTGATTACGTGTTCTTACATTGCATAGCATAGAATGGTGGCATTCGATTGGTTACTTCTGATCCAGTTCTGGCTTCAATCTAATGGTACAGAACTGAATATGTCATATTCATCATTTATCTGTCATTTTTTTGTCGGCCATTTTGAATTCTGTCTACTACTCTTCCTATTCGGCATTAGTGGAACTGAACCTTGTTCCAAATTGTTTTATTGAACCTCCATTGATTCAATGAATCCTGAACTCACCAATAGAGCTGGTAGTCAGGTTGGTGTGTTTTGGGTTTGAATGATGACAGTTGAAGTGGTTCCTGAATTTTATTCTCTTATTTTCTTTCGTTGCAGAATGGCACTAAACCCAAACTAGCAGAAGACGTAAAATTAATTGATATTGCCGCCAATGAAAAATGTGATGGATACACGTAAGAAATATAACTTTATTCCTATACAGCCTTGAATTATTGAAATCTGGAAGTTTATTCAAATATAAGAATGCCCCAAAGGGATATTTTGTCAAACTATCTCGCAGATTGTCATAATGGAAGCCGTTAGGAACAGTGGGAAAAACTTAATACCAAGTTACCAAAAAGCATTTTTTGCTTCTGGGGCATTTCCTTCTTCAATCTATTGATTTGTGTATAGGTAATGGTTTTATTTAATGATTTTGATAAAACAAAGTAATAACTATCCATTTGACTCCATTTCTTTTACACTTTTTTGGTATTTGCTTAGCTTCAGGAAAACGTTTGACACATGGATTACAACCTTTTTTTTTTCTGAGGTATTTCTGACTTTCCATCGCTTATGGATAGATCTTATTAAAGGATTTTTAAGCAACAAAGTAACAACTATCTATTTTTCAGTGGAGCAGACCTAGCGGCACTAGTAAGAGAAGCATCAGTATGTGCTTTAAAAGAATTAATACAACAGACATCTACAAATACCGCTGTTCCCATGGTAACAAGACAACATTTTGATCTGGCATTAAATAAGATTAAACCCTCAGTTTCTAAAAAGGTTAGTGCTGTAAGATTTACTCGAAATCTTTTATTGATCTCTTGACTTAAAATAGTATGCTTTTCTTCTTATGGTTCTTTTTGTAAACTTTAGCATGATCGTTATAAGAGCCTTCAATCCTATATAGAAGTTTATTTGAATATAAACTTTTCCATCTGTATGGAAAAAAAATAGTACTTGAATGTATTAATTAAGATCCAGTGAGAAAGTTCAGGTTTCACCATTTGCATGCCGAAGTGGATGTATTACCAGTTTGGAAAACTAAAATATTTATTTTTCTGTTTCAGGATCAAGAAAAATATAAACAGTTAAAAACAAATGATTTATGATAGAAAATAAAATATAAAACAAATTACTTTGTCAATATTGGACGCCTGTGTCTCACTTTTAAACAAATCATCCATCATCTTAGTGGTTTTTAAGGAAGGACTTTAAGGACAAGTAATAACGTGTACATAGTACAAAACACTGGTAGTTGTATAAGCTGTAAGGACAATTACACCTGCAGTGTTCAAGATCTTGGCCCAAAATATGATATTGTGTTAAGAAATGTAGACTAGAAAAATTTTTTAAGAACTGAGTTCCTATGTTTTACTGTCTGTGCATATAAATGATTCAAGACTGTCAATCGAAAACATAATGGTGAACTTTGCTCCACTGCTCTGATAAAATGTCATAGCATCCTATTTTTCTGCTTTATTTATCCAAATGAAGGAAATTAAGTTAAGTAATGTCATGCATGTAATGAGGAAAATTTTGCTAGGACAGTGGCTCAACCTACTCTCTATTGTTTTCCAACTGTTTAGGGATTTTTATAGTGCGTGGCCTGTAGTCCTAGACCTCTGCCCCTATTCGACCTCTATTTAGACAGTTGTTGGCTTGAGTAGGTTATCAGAGGCCAAAACAGAGACAGATGTTTTGGACTACACAATCTGTAGCACTCTCCATTGTTTATTTCCCATATGACCTGTGTCAATGAGACCTGTGTCAATGACACACTTAAAGCAACTTGGAAAAGAAATAATATATGAAGATATCTGATCAACCTGCAATGTGAATGTCCTCAAGACCTTTTATTAGTAGGCGAGTAACTGCCTGAGCCACCCCATCTCTCACTGATTCAGATGTATCCCAGGCCCCAAAGCAATATTGAAAAAAAAAAATCATGGCTCAATTATAGGCCTTTTCAATCTAAGTCAGAGAAACAATCTAATATATGTGAATGATATAGACCCATAGTAATTCCCACATAGCAGAATTGAGCAGTAGTTTAGTATGTGACCAGATAATATGGATTAACAGCCACCAGTCCAGTTTGTTTACATCTGTCAAAGAGAATCAAAACAAATACACGTGGTTTTCTAAAAATAGAAAAGTAGGACATTTCCGGCTTGGCTAGAAAACACTGCATTTTGGGAAGACAGCTTTAAGTTTAGAAACTGAAAATTTCTTCATGGTATTTTGCATAATTTAGAAGCATGGAAAAAGCTTCAGGAAGTGCAAAATGCAAAGGTGAAGACAAGACAGTTACCTTGGAGCTTAAAAATGGTAAATTTTATATTTTGCATTCTTACGTTGCACGCATTCCGTTGAAATACCTAAACACCGTCTGCACCTAACTTGTTGATTGTGCGATGTATGGTGATCCAAGAGTGACAAGTGTCACCTACATTTCTAATGATAAGCGTATTAAACAAATGAAACTGAAATGACTGTCAGCAATTTAATCTAAAGATAGATCAATGGAAAATTGTGTGGTTTTTGTAACAGTAGTTTTGTTAAATGGTGGTTATGGAAGGGTTCACAACTTCAGAAATAGGTAAACAAGTTGAAAGTTTATGTTTTTATCTTGTTCAATGCCATGTACTTGATTTTGAGTTCATTAAAATGATTAAAAAGGTTGCATAATCCATACATACATAAGAGATACATCAGAACCCTGCCAATACACTGATGATTTGTGAATGTGTGCTATGGTTATACACTGAAGAATTTGGCTTGAGGCAAATCAATGATATGATGATATATGTAGTGTGTGCAGCTAGTCTATAATAAGGATACATCGAACAGAGATCATTTATAACTATATAAACTAACTGACTGACATGTCTAATTAGAAACAGATTGTAGCTTGTATAGTTGAAACTTGATAAACATTGTTTACACTACATTGGAGTGAAATCCAATGATGAATGAAACATTTTGCAGAGATTGCAGAACAAATTACAAAAAATAATATGAAAGTCAACTTCCAAATTTATCAATTATCAAGTATCTTGATCACCTCCAAGAAAAGGATATAAGATTTTTATGCAATTCTAAGGGGTTTAAAGCTACTAGTACTTTGAAACGATTGTATTGTTGCATGAAATGCTAATGCAACATTACTTGCAAATTCAAAGTTATACTGATATTGTATTGTTAGTTATCAAATTGCATGTTCAGTTACCATATCTCAACCTTTAGACCTTTCAGCTGTAGTTACAGATGTAAGAGTTTGTACAAATGTAAGCTTATTTAAGCTGACACTACTTTATGATATATGTTTCTATGATGGGTTGAAAATTTTGGAAAGGATCATATAATAAGCATTGACTATCTGTTCAAGCTACTTCTAGATTCGTTGCAAGACTTGATGTAACCTTATACATAAAAGATAATGCTTGTTGTTGCCAGTTATGGTAAAGAATGGATGGTCATTGAAATGTTATTGATAGTCCAGTGAAGAGTTTAACGTTACTAGCTTGTGTTGGATTCACCTCGGCTAGGCTGTGTTTAATAAACAATGTAGAAAACAAGATGTTGTCAGGTCAATTGTCCACTGTACAGAATATTGATTGGTTTATTGAAAGGTTTAATGAATTGTTTGAATCTTTTACTCAATAAAGTAATGCTCTTCAATTAACATACAGTCACACAACATAATGTGGTACCGTACTACTGTACTTTTTTACTATTGAATTATGTCACAGATGCATTCTGTTACCAATTTGAATATCAGTCATCAAGATTATATAACATAGTTAAATTTTTACTGCATATAGTAGAGCTTTTCAACATACAGTCATGCATCAGATAGTACTATTTGACTCAGTCCAAAACATCTGCTTCTATTCCAGCCTCTGATGGATTTTATTTTTATTTATTTATTAATAAGCGTAGCAAGTACTTGCTATTGCCGAAGAATTTTTAAACAATATACAATAAAAATATGGATGGATGTTAAATAGGAATTTTCCACACCTACAAAGATGCGTTTTCTCTGACATAATATTGAATTACCTTTAAGATGATTGTAAATAAGTGTTGGGCATCACCGTAACTTTCGTTTTGTTAGTATCACGTGACTGCGTTACCTTTGAACTTTGGCTGCACATACAGCTTTAAATGGCCGATGCTAGATCAGTTTCGCCTAAAAAAAAACTTTGATGGAAACGGAGACATGACATAAATGGTGTAGGGAGAAAATGATGGGATGACTGAACTACAAAAATATTCATTTTTCCAAATATACCTGAGTTTTGCAATCTGAGGTACCTAAATAGGTTTAAAACCCCCGCACCTGCGGAGATGTGGAATATGCTCATTTAACAGGGCTTATTATTTCTGTCTCTACACCAGTTGACATTTTTTGTCCAAATAGCTATCAGAGGCTGGTTTAGAGACAGATGTTTCGGTCTATATTGGACTATGCCTCTGTCTCACAGATGCATGCTGTTTACCAATTTGAATATCAATCATCCAGATTATATTATAACATGAGTTATTTTATACTCAGTATAGTAGAGCAGTTCATTACCATACGGTCACACATCAGATACATTGATGCCGGTACTATTGGACTACCGGTATATCTGTCATTCTGATACATTCTGATACCAATTTTAGTTTCATTTACTATTGGACTACCGGTATATCTGTCATTCTGATGCATTCTGATACCAATTTTAGTTTCGTTTACTATTGGACTACCGGTATATCTGTCATTCTGATACATTCTGTTACCAATTTTAGTTTCATTTACTATTGGACTACCGGTATATCTGTCATTCTGATACATTCTGTTACCAATTTTAGTTTCATTTACTATTGGACTACCGGTATATCTGTCATTCTGATACATTCTGTTACCAATTTTAGTTTCGTTTACTATTGGACTACCGGTATATCTGTCATTCTGATGCATTCTGTTACCAATTTTAGTTTCATTTACTATTGGACTACCGGTATATCTGTCATTCTGATACATTCTGATACCAATTTTAGTTTCATTTACTATTGGACTACCGGTATATCTGTCATTCTGATACATTCTGTTACCAATTATAGTTTCATTTACTATTGGACTACTGGTATATCTGTCATTCTGATACATTCTGTTACCAATTTTAGTTTCATTTACTATTGGACTACCGGTATATCTGTCATTCTGATGCATTCTGATACCAATTTTAGTTTCATTTACTATTGGACTACTGGTATATCTGTCATTCTGATACATTCTGTTACCAATTTTAGTTTCGTTTACTATTGGACTACCAGTATATCTGTCATTCTGATGCATTCTGATACCAATTTTAGTTTCATTTACTATTGGACTACCGGTATATCTGTCATTCTGATACATTCTGTTACCAATTTTAGTTTCATTAACATACAGTCACACATTAGACAGTGTAGGATTATGATATTGATGCGTTCCAATTTTAATAACAATCAACAATATTAAGCTAATGATATGGTTCGATTAATACATGGATTTTTATTAATGTGTTATTAGAATGGAATTGACATTCTATATTAAATAATTATAGTATATACTCTATGCCCTAATGATGAGATGTGTATTTTAATGAAATTTGTAAGCTTATAAGCTGGTGATTGACTATAATAAAAATCAGATAAACAAAACAATTCCATTAATGGAAAATCTTGTCCAAAGAATGACAAATTGGGATCAATAATTGTACAGTAGCAGACTCCTCAAATGAGAAGTACTGTTACCATCTATATACAGTCCTAACTTTTACTACCACTTGGCGGCCATTACAGCCAAAACTGGAATGTGATGGTTCATTACTCTTTGACAGATATGATACAAATTTATATTGAACCTTGTCACCAATAGACAATAAATCACTAAGAAGGTTCTTTAACTTGACCAGTTCTTGGCACTCTGGTATTAGATTTCATGTTCTAAATTTAGTACAAGGTCTTTCTTCACTGGTTTAAATTTGAAATTTGGTTCTGATCTGATCACTTTAGAAACACAATTGATTTGCGATAATTGACAGTACCCGGCAATATTTGTATGATAATGTTCGTATAGGAAATGCATCCAAATGTCCAAATCTGTGTTCATGAAATTATCAGTATAAAATAGGGTTTCCCAAGTAAATGAGCTAAATTGCTGCTTTTCATGTCTGAAATTGCAAAAAGATCCATAGATGGTCGATGGGTCCCCCAGAAGGTGATGGGTATGGGGTGTTTTTAACGGCTAACAACATTTAATGTTGTTTACAGTAATTTACAGTAAAATACATTTAGACATAAACAGCAACTCATTGTGGAACATACGCGCATACTGAGCAAAGCAAACGTTGCAACGCTGGGTCTGTAGCCCGATTAAGCGGCTGCAATGGAGTCCAGGTTTTTGTTATTTTCCTTTTTTTTTTTCTGTTTGCTCATATTGTTTTCAAAGTCCGTCGTGTGCCAATTTGCAAGTGCTGATGCCCCACCAGTTGAAAAAAAGTTATTGAATTATTTTAAAACAAGATACAAAAGAAACCAATGAGTTTATGGAATGGTTCTACAAAAAGTTGAATGAAGGTCAATAAGGAAAGTTATTATAAGAGAGGTCATAAAGATGTGTATGTATGTAATATGATACTGGTCAAACATAACAGAACTAAATTTTGAATCTTTAATTGGACAGATTTATTGTGGTGTTAAGACCTGATGACATATTGTTTACAGTAGACATACCAACTAATTATAATCAAAGGACCATGGGCAGTACAGAATACTCTTTTTTTGGTAGTAAAAGTTAGGACTATATAACTAAATATCATATTTCCTTTTAGCAGGTAAACCTCTTATTTATGATTGAAGTAAGGAAAAATCCTTACTTTGTTTTTTTTGGTTAATGTTTCAGGTTGCCTTTTCAATCGAATACTATGTATTTTCTAAAGATTTTTACAAACTGGCATCGTTTGATAAATATTAAATGTATTTCTCTAAGTTTTGTTAATTTCAGTGAACCTGACAGGTAAAGAAGACAGGGTTAGTATGGAGGACTTTGACCTGTTAAAGGTTTTAGGAACAGGTGCCTATGGTAAAGTGTTTCTAGTTCGAAAGAATGACGGCTCCAACAAAGGAAAACTGTATGCCATGAAAGTCTTAAAGAAGGCCAGTATCGTCCAGAAGACAAAAACAACGGAACACACAAAAACTGAAAGACAAGTTTTAGAAGCCATTAGAGAATCTCCATTCTTAGTGACACTTCATTATGCATTCCAAACAGATGCTAAATTACATCTGATTTTAGGTAAGTTCAAATGATCCTCTGACTTTATTGAATTTGGTCTCCACTTCTAGATGTTGCTTGCGAGGCATGACTTGCTCCCTTTTGGTGAGTCCCTTTTGGAGAGATCATTTAGCTATACCAGGTACTGGTAATTTGTTTCTTGGTATATTTTGTTTTCCATCCTCTTGTCTTTATCAACAGGAGACGAGGTATTATACTTGTATTAAAACTTGTGCTCATGTGTTTACTTTCCATGAATAATGTTAATATTGAGTTTGTATTTGAAGAAATCATATAACAGCTTGGAATTGGATTCTTCTTACAAAGTCAACTTAGTCCTGTAAACTTTTATAGCTTTGAATAGTTGGATTAATCTGTGAGAATTCTGTATTTCTTTGCTGTCAACTTAAGAAGCCAGTTCAATCGGGCATAGGTTGAGATAATACTTTTCAACCCGGTTTCCCTGTCAGTGATGCAGGTAAAAGGGATTGACGTCTAGTTGTTCAAATCGGACAATAAACTGAGCTGATCCCCCAAAAAGAGTAGGCTATTGCCACTGTCCTGACAAAATTTTCTTCATTGCACCCTGCATGGCGCTGCCCGTCTTAATTAACCCACATGGTGCGGAAAAGTAGGATGTAAAACTCCTTTTCATTTGAATTTTTTGTGCTAATTTGAAAAAAAAAAATCAACTCACTCAGTTGTGAATGATTCATATTTAGAAATAACTTTGTAAAATAATTTTTTTCGTACTCTGCAGATTATGTGAGTGGTGGTGAAATGTTCACACATTTATATCAGAAAGAGAATTTTGATGAGAAAGATGTTAGAATATATATTGGTGAAATAGTTTTAGCTTTAGAAACTCTACATAAGGTGAATAAACTTAGTTCACCTTCAAATTCAATATAATGCAATTATGGACACTTTAAAGTAGGTGTTTTCAACCTTTTTCTTTCCATTATCCCATTCAGGATTCTCGATCAAATACATTACCTCCCTTTACCTATAAATCCTTACTATTTTGTGATTTTCTCATAGGTTTTTCTGCAATATTTTAATATCAGAGATTATAGCCTGACTGAATAGAAAGATTTAAGATATCATTGTCCACAAAGCTTATGTTAGACGACAAAGTGTTTCATTACCGCCAAAAATTATATTACCATTAGGTTGGAAACACCTGTTCTAAAGAAACATTTCTCTTCAAGGCTTTGATAATCAAAATTAACACTTCCTAATATGACAACAACTAAATTATATTTATATTTCAGCTGGGTATAATATATCGTGATATTAAATTAGAAAATATATTATTAGATGATGAAGGACATATAGTTTTAACAGATTTTGGTTTAAGTAAAGAATTTTTACCAACTGATGATGTAAGCAATTAAAGTTTGTTAATCACTTTCTTATGCATTAATTGGAAATGTTTTTCAGTAAAGGTGTAGAATGTGGAAATCAATGTTAGATTTTGGGAAAGGAGGGATTGATTCTCCAAAATGTGCAGGCCTAGCTTGGAACAAATATTTCATTTTGAAAGTGGTAGAAGTAGTTGAGATCGGCTTTCTTCCGTTAAATAAATTTCCATTATTTTTTATTGGAGAAAATAACTCGCCCAATTATTTAAGAGCATGTCAATGATAAATCAACCAAAAAAATAAATGACAAACATTTTATCTTTAGACTCACAGAGCATACAGTTTTTGTGGTACCATAGAATACATGGCTCCTGAAGTTGTCAAAGGTGGTTCCACAGGCCATACTTTTGTAAGTTTTATTTAATGTATTGATTTAAAAAGGCTGAAACTTAAATTCTCGAGAAAAAATCAATCCACATGGTTAGATCTACTGTACCAATATAAGGCCTTGATATTGATTACTTTCAGTAAGATGTTAAACCTCCATTTCATTTCAACAGGTGTTTTGAAGATCTTGTAGTCTTATATTTTCAAGTTTTTAGTTTTTATCCATTGATCCAATATCTTACTATTTGATATGCTATTGTATTTTCTTACCCTGTATGAATATTATTGTAGGCAGTAGACTGGTGGTCTCTAGGTGTATTGACCTATGAACTGTTAACTGGAGCCTCACCATTTACAGTTGACGGAGAGAAAAATACACAGTCAGAAATATCTAGGTACAATTTTCTCTCTTTTCAAATTTGCGGAATCGGTAAGTTTTTTTGGCACTGAAATATAAAAGAATTTCTCATTCCTTAAAGACAATGTCAAGCTAGATGCTCACTTCATTGAAGTGAAGTAGTAAATAGATGTTCAGATGGGACAATAAACGGAGGACCTATGTGGTGTACCACATTAAAGATTCCTTGACATTTAGAACTAATAAAGAGAAGGCTAATGCAGCTGTACTTGCTAAATTTCTCTCACTGCATAGTGTTTTAGTTATGCATTATTTCAGTCCTGAAGAAAAAAACAGTTACTGAACAGAGCATTTGATTTGTTAAATTCATAGTAATACCTTTCGCCCTTTTGCCCTTGTTGCCTTCTATTTTTGGAAATTGATCTCTAAAGACTTTCAGGATCCATTTCCAACTTGCAAAATAATACAAATTTGATGAAACTGATTCCTTACTCTAAAATTACTATAAGAGAGTTTTAAAAAAAATAGTAAAAGTATTGGGAGAAAAAAAAAATTTCCCCCAAAAAAAGAAGAAAATTGTGATTGATCATTGTATTGCATTAGAAAATAATTGATAAACTACTGTTTTTTATTTCTCCAGGAGAATATTAAAATGTGATCCATTTATGCCAAAGACATTCTCTTCAGAAGTTCGTGATTTTATATTGAAATTATTAGTTAAAGATGCTAGTCAAAGGTTAGGGGCAAATGGTGCTGATGAGGTCAAAGGTCACAAATTTTTTAAGGTGAGAATTTTATATTGCTTAATGTTTTGTTTTTCTATCATTTTAGGTTCATTTTGTAGTTTTTTTTAATGGCAAAAGCATATGATGCATGATGTGAATTTGACCTCATTATGCTTCTATTTCTCTGTAGGGATTATCATGGGAGGATCTAGCCAGTAAAAAAATCACTGCACCATTTACACCTCAAATACGACATGAATTAGATGTTGGTAACTTCTCAGAAGAATTTACCACAATGGCTGCCACAGACTCTCCTGCTGTAGTTCCATTAAATGTCGAAAAATTATTCAAAGTAAGTTAATTAGGGTGATGAAAAAAATAGCAAGATGATAATTAACAGAGGGTACTGGCACAGGGTATTATTATTCAAGGAAGTTTGCTCTGTATGTCCCTAAATACCATCCACATCCTTGTAAGGCCCAATATTTATTGATCTCAAGGTTTGACCACTCAAAAAAATTTGTGTCCACTTGATTCCATATGTAATAAATATGTTTTTCTTGGTATATATATAATTATTTTACTATATCTAGAGCTATTATTATGAGTGGGAGAAGGGGGAGTGTGTGTGTGGGACTGAATATTGTGTTTTGAGAGTAATATAGTATAATTATATTGAATTTCAGGGTTATTCGTATATAGCACCATCAGTATTATTCAGTGATAACACAATAAGTCATGATATGTTAACACAGACTACAGTAAATCAACCTGATGAACAAACTTTTAATAATCCTTCCCATTTTAAGGTAAGTATCAGAAGCAGCCATCTTTTCTTCATCATGTCTGAAACTTTTACAAATATCTAACTCTTGTTTGTGACCGAGATAATAAATATTAATAATGTCACAAGGTTTTCAAACTGGCCAATAAAGTCATTTGAGCACATGCACAAAACTTAAGAATAGTATATATGATTAAAGGTATCCCCTCTCATATGAGAAGGCATGTATCGATTGGCTGAAATTCTTGGCAAACTAGCAAAGTTTCTTATATTTTATGATGTTATTTTTTCAGAATTCTCCATTTTTTAAACAATATGAATTAGATTTGAAAGGAGAAGCTCTAGGAGATGGGAGCTTTTCAATATGTCGGTAAGTCTTTTCAAGAAAATGCTGAGCTTAATAGTACATGAAAGTTCTACTTCGTTTTCTCAACAATACATTTATGACCTAGTGGTGATGTGTTTTTAGCATTTTTCAGAAATGCAGTGGCTAAACAATACAATTTTTGAAAAAGTGTTGATCTGTTCTGATATTTTTTTTTGGAAATGCTGTAGGCAACGCACTAAGATGTGCAGTCATTAGTAAAACTGTATCTCTTGTTGATAAAGAACGTTGATTGCTGGAGGCAATACTGATAGAAAAGTCAACTTTATTCCAGGAAATGTCAGAATATCAAAACTAAACAGAAGTATGCTGTTAAAATAGTTAGCAGACGTATTGATTGTCAACAGGAAATACAATTATTACGCTTGTGTCAAGGTCATCCAAATATAGTAACATTGGTAGAGATATTTTATGATGAGGTAGGCATTTTTTTTTTGATGATATATTGAAAGTAAAACAAAAGTAGTTTTCTAGATAAGTTAGCTGCATTTCTAATTCCCATCATTATTTTTTTTTCAGAATATGATTCACTTTGCATGCCTTTTATTGTATGGTGTGCTGGGCTTGAAAGCTGGGAAAAGGAAAAGGCTATTGTTGCTTTTTTGGCAAAATTTCCTTATGTACACTCAGCTATATGTCAGCGTAAATTTGATTACCCTCAGTCAGTGGTACAAGATTAAGAGGGGTTTTGATTGAAAAAGGCACCTAGTTGTTTGGATGAGACAATACACCTTAGCTTGCGAACCACAGGCTGTGTACATAACAGATTCCTCTACATTTGGAAATAAGAAAAGAATAGACGTGTGCCATTATTCTGGCAGATTTCATTACTCCTAGATGTTTAATTCAGTTTTATGTAAAATTTGTAGGTTCATATTTTTATTAGCTTTATCCGAAACAGAAAAGTATGAAAGTTTTGATATTTGTAGGTTCACACGTATATAGTAACAGAATTATTACGAGGGGGAGAATTACTGAGTAGAATAAAGAAAAAGAAGAATTTTAGTGAAACTGAAGCAAGTGATATAATGTGTCAGTTAGTAAAAGCTGTAGAATTCATGCATTCTAAAGGTGTTGTACACAGAGATCTTAAACCTGAGGTAGGTACCATAGACCACCTTCTTGAACGTCATTTTTTAATCAGGAAATTTGAATATGGTGTAATTATTTATACTGTATATATATATAAGTGGTGTATATGACTTTCTGTCTTCATTTATTGCAGTAGTTCCCAACCTTTCCTAGCAATCACACCCCTGGAGAAATCACCTGGACCTTTCACACCCCCAACAATTTGTTTCATTCAAATTTTCAGCATGTGTTCATGTGAGATGCTCTCTCAATTCAAAACAAATTCTCCTACACCAGTTGGCCACACCCCTGACACCCTAGTCCCACACCCTCAGGGGGAGAAAACACCCAGGTTGAGAACCGGGGATTTATTGGTTTGAGAAGAAGACTTTTAATTCTGAATACTGACAAGGATAGCTTAAATTGAGTTTTTACAGCAAGATTGGAGAGATGTATTAGCGGTTGCTGACTGTGGCCACTCAAGGCTAAACTAAGATAAAAAACTATTACAAAGAGTCTTACATTTTGAATTAATTACAGATAGTTTTTAAATAATTCTTCATTTTTTTAGCATATCTGTTCCAGAGGACCTGCTTTAAATATATTTGCAAAAATGAAAACTTCATTAAAGTTCATGATATAGCAATAATTTGTTTTTAATTTTTAATTCCAGAATTTGATATTTGAAGATGATAGTGATAAAGCTGAAATAAAGATTATAGATTTTGGGTTTGCTAGATTGAATCCTGAAAACCAGATGTTGAATACCCCTTGTTTTACATTACCTTATGCTGCTCCTGAAGTTTTACGTCAAGCTACCAATAAAGATCATGGTTATGATGAATCTTGTGATTTGTGGAGTTTAGGCGTGATATTGGTAAGATTGATATCTGGCTTAACTTGATTTGATATAGCACAGGTGGTTTAAGCATGGGAATCGTCATTTGCTTGGTAGCATCAAAAACATGATAGGGGTGGTAAGATTCATACATTAGTGAATTGATATGGCTGTAGTACCGTCGGTTAGATTGTGGAATGACGTCATTTCCTTTGTTAAGTCACAAAAATGATGGTTGTTGGGTTCAGATCTTCGTCAACACATGAAAGTCTGGTAACAAAGAATATGTCATCTTTTCTCACTAAATCAGTTGACCCAGCTGTAAATGGGTAAGGATAATCTGGGAAAGGTCAATTTTACAGAATTAATTAAAAGGTTCAGAAGTTTATGAAAAGATCAAGTATCAAGAGTAAATTCTGGTTTATATTTCAGTATACCATGTTATCAGGTAAGGCTCCATTCAGAGCTCAATCTAAAGACGATACAGCTTCAGCCATCATGGAGAAAATAAAGGGTGGTGTCTTCAATTTGTCCAGTTCTGATTGGCAATCTGTCTCTGATCAAGCCAAAAAACTTATTAAAGGTAGGACTGAAATTTGGACTGTTTTGATAAATTTCATGTTTTCAAAGTTGAGGTTCTAAAGTCCATATTTAAAAAATTCTTAAGATGAAAACATTTTGAAAGTTCTGAATTTTACTTTGAGAATTAATACACCAATTGATTGCTATAGTTTTTGAGAAACAGGGGTCTAGTTTTGAAGAATTCTTCACTTGCTGTCTAACCTAGTGGTCAGTTAGGCCCAGGTTGGGTATAAGTTGAGACCATACCTTTGAATTTGTCAACTTGGTTCCCCTTGTTAGTGTTGCATGTATATGGAACTCATATTGTTCGGATTGCAATTTGATTCTGAGCTACTGTGAACATGTTGGCATCATAAGATGAGCTCTTATCACTAGACCCACTGCCAAATACTTAAATTTGATACTTTGGTCCTTCCAATATTAATCTTGAAATCTGATGTTTTATTGTAGGGTTATTAACGGTGGAACCAAGGAAAAGATTAACTATGGTTGATTTATTAAAGAATGAGTGGTTATTTGGAAAACATGAACTATTGTCCCATACAACTCTTCCAACCCCTGGTATACTCTCAACTCATACTAACACTATACATAATCAACTAAGTGCTACTCTTAATGCATTTCACAAGGCAACGAGAGAGGGTTTCAGACTCCAAGATGTGGCCACGGCACCCCTAGCCAAACGTAGACGTGTGAAAAAGAGTTCCACAGACGCCAGAAGTAGTTCAACTGATTCAAACAATTCTAGCTCAACTGTTAGTTCATCTGGTGTAACCCAATCACCAGTACGTCAGTCACCCTCTCGGACATTTTCTAGTGCCTCGAGTATGTCTAATGCCAGTACTGGTTTTGTACCTCATCGATCAGTGACACCAGTGTCTGGGCGATCTGGAACTGCTACACCTGTAGACTTGGTTGAACAAGTTGAGCCTATTCAAATACCCTCATTCGACAGTGAAAGTGATATTAAACTTGATCAGGAAAGAGGTTTGAAACGAAAACGTGACACGATGGAGAATAATAGCTATGATGTTGATGATGAAGAAGATGATGATTGTGTGATTATTGAAGATGATTTGGATGTCCATGTAACGCCTCCAGACCGTCCTATAACTATATCACCCAGATCTATGTGCTCAAATAATAATAACTTGACAACAGAGACTATTGTAATAGATGACTAGAGTTAAATCCTTATTAATTTGTCATCTGGACTTTTGATGTATAATGTGTTGACACTACCAACATTTCTCCAACAACCCTGGCCATGTATTCTCGAAACGATCTTAGTACTAGGATGTCCTAGAATCAATGTTAGAAGATAAGAACCTAGTGCGAGAATATGTGGCCTGGTTCCTAAACCATGTTGTCAGGTGAACAGAGTTGATGCTTAAAATGTTGGTAAAAAGTTGGACACATGTTAGGGAAAAGCTGATTGTGAGAATATACCTTAACTGACAAAGCACTATTTCAGGTATCTGTATCTCTTTTCAAAATTAGAATCCAATATTAAATTGTCCTGCAATTCGATAGAAAACATATATTGAAGTTTAGGCTGTTGTTGTATTCAATGATATTTTGGGATTTGTTGAACTTGAAAATCATAAGGACATCAATGGTATGTTTTCGTTAAATTGTAGGAGAACAGGACAAAGGCCTGAATACTGAAAAACAATACAGATAGCTGAAGTTAATCTATATCAGCTGGTGAAGCAAATATTTTGAAGTTTTGATTTTTAATACATTATTATTTGTTTTTAATCATGGTACAAAAATTTTAATGTTTTCTTCAAAGTTCACTTTTTCATGGCATTAACTTTTTATGCTATTAATTTTATTCCTTTTTTGATAATTTTGAAGTTTTTTACACTACAATATATGTACATCTTCAGCTCTGAAAGGGTCACAAGCTGTCAAATTAAATCCGCATCTAACTCTAGATTAGATGACGGTTTCATTTTTCATCTCATGAGCTTTCAGACATGAAACTTGTCAATCATTATTTGGGAACCAGGCAGGCTCCTCCTTTTTGTTGAAAAAACATTTTTTTTTAGAGAACTGAACATAATCTTTATATTTAATATTTTACAAATAGTAGCTCACAAACCACAACTTACAGAATGTCTTAAAGGGATTGTAAACTTTTTATTTGTATCGGGGACACTGATAGCATCAATTTGCACCATTCCGATGTCTGTGGTTCTTGCAATTCCACTAACACGTTTTATGACGTCACTAGAGGGGTACTTTATAGATATTAATAGTACCTTCTGGTAGCTTCCCTCTGGTGACATCATAATACCGGTTAGTTTTAGTGGAATTGCAAGAACCACAGACGTAAATTGCAAATTGATGCTATCAGTGTCCCCGATACACATAAATAATTTAGAAAACCTCTTGACAATTCCTTTAACTCTTTACCTAGTCACTTTTAACCTGGTGAATATGCTCACTATCTGATTTTGTTATTATTGACAATGTCTTTGGTTCTGAAGGCAGATAAGACCTTGTTATTATAGTATAATTTATCTTTTATCCAATCAAATATATTTACACCATTTACTTCTTTTCAGCTTACCTGAATTCAAACCTGTGGAGAATTTTGTTTGATTGAAACAAGAATTTCCATGTTTTTGATCATAATTAATTTGAATGTTATAATTTCCAATGCTTGTTCACCTTATTTGGGGTTTGGATTTGATGATGTCACAAGGAAAACTGTATCCCTTTTTATACGCCCACATCTCTCTATATGGACGTATATTGTCCGCACCCCTGTCGGTCCGTCGGTCAACATTTGCTTGTAAACGCTCTAAAAACTAGATTTTTTGATGGAATCAAATGAAATTCGGTATATGTATACATATTCATAAAATGAAGATCAAGTTTGAAGTTAGGCTATATTCGACCGTTAGAAGCAGAGTTATTGTCCTTGCCCCAAAATCTTGAATATTTACCATCTGCATGCCGTGGTGGGCGTATATGGCTGTGGTTCATTATCTTCTTCTGAAACTTTTTGTCTTGGAAATAATTTGTTAAACTGAGATCTTAGTTTCTTTGTTAGAAAGTTATACAAACTTAATTTTAATATTTCTTAATCGATTAATTGTATGATATATAAAGAATTGTATATATTAATATTATATAAAATTGTATAGTTTTAATTGTATATAAGATCATATTTAGAAAATAATATATTTATATAATGAACTCTTTGTTTATAGTAATAGAGTTAAAACTGTGATGTCTATTTTTAAACATAATACTAATATATATTCAATGTTTTATCCATTTATTCTTGCTCTTGATTTTTAAAGGAGATCCCAAGACGGATTTAATTTTATGTAATCAAATTTATTAGCATTTTTTGATTTATTGAAAGAACAATTTGGTCCTCCGACTTCATTTTCTAATAATGAATATTAAATAAGTTAACTTTGTGAGTTAATATTTTGGTACTTATTAAAGAATTTTTTTTTACTTTGTTAGTCTGGGAAAGTTGGCAGGGCTACCACCAGCCACCTGAAAATTCATCTTGGAATTTCCTTTAAAAATGTGTTTTAAATAGCATAACTGCCTAAATAAAACTTTAAAAGGTTTAATGAAGGTTTTCTAGCTTTTGTATTTGTATCAGACATACTTATAGCTTCCATCTCATCTGATGTTTGTTGTTCTTGCAATTCTGGTAAGGCAACAGTGCAGTCTTGTCAAATAGGCTTAAGAGTCTCTGATATACAATCGAAAGCTAAAAATCTTTTTTAAAGAATTAATTAATTTTATTGTTGAATTTTAACGTAAATTATTTAAATTTGTAATCTTGTTGAGTAGATATAAATATACATAGACGAGAATATACTTTAATGTGGTTTAATCAATATATTTATAGACAGATTAACTCTAGCAATTTAGCTCCTTATTGAAGTTGATGAGTGGCTTTACATTCTTATGAAATCATAACTAAAGACAATCAAAGATATTCTGCGCATTCAGTTTGATTCAAAAAATAGGCAAGAGGAGTCTATTTTAATTAGAGGTAGAATAAGTAGAAATTAGTGATATATAAACTACACTTTATTGTGTTCATAACTACCTATCCTACCTAAAAAATAAAGTCGACTCTTTGTGTTTATGTTTTGAGTCGTATACAGATTTGCATAAAGGTCTTTGCTGGACTATACCTGCACTTTTTTGCTGACATTGTTATGAAATGATTTTGTATATAGATTAGACAATTGTGTAAATATATTCATAATATGAAACATTTCAATGCAAACTCATTCTTAGAAATGTTCTTTTATTGTGTTCTGTTGCTTTTCTACAACTGTTTTGATATAGAATGCACATTTAGCATCATGCAGCAAATTTGCTTTTGAAGTTTTCTCTGATGGTTTGATCTTATCGGATTCTTATGTTACCTTTCTTCAAGAAAACTAAGTTCTCAATTAATTTTTAACATATTATAAATGAATTTGCAAGATCAGTGCAAATAACTCTACAATTTTGAACAAGTGCCTGATCCTGAGACTTATTAACAGAAAGTATGTGTTGATTTACTTGATATATTTTGAATGTCTATATAACAGTCTAAAAGCAAAGATATATCAGGGTGTTATGGTCAAAATGCTTTAGAATTATTATGTTAAGTTAACAATGAGGTTATTTTACAATAAGTACTACCATTGTCATACAGGTAAAATCCAAGTTTGATATTGAAATATGAAGCAGAAATTGTATTCCAAGGATGCAAGATTTTTTATCAATTCTTGTTATTTTGAGGATGTTGCGATGTCCCTATTTAACTTCTAGAAATCTGATTGGTCAACAGCATCATTTAAATATTTTTAACCAATGAATTTACTTTGTTAATGTTTACTGTAAAGTTTCGGATGATAAGAGAACCAGTGAGGTATCTGTCATCCTGGCATAACATACACCCAAATGGAAGCATTTCATTCTCAAAGTGCATTAAGAGTTATCACAGTTGTTAGTTCCAAATAGTTGTTTTTAATCAAATTATTTCATATACATATATAATATTAAATGTTACCAGAATGTGATATGTTATACTGTTTTACGATTGTTAGTATGTTTTACTGTTGATTATAATGTTAAAGATGGTGTTTATGCTTATCATGCTTTAAAGATGCTCATCTTGGACTGTTTGAACAAGTTTAAAAGATGCCTATCTGGGACTGTTTGAACAAGTTTAAAAGATGCCTATCTGGGACTGTTTGAACATGTTTCAAAGATGCCTATCTAGGACTGTTTGAACAAGTTTCAAAGATGCCTATCTAGGACTGTTTGAACAAGTTTAAAAGATGCCTATCTAGGACTGTTTGAACATGTTTCAAAGATGCCTATCTAGGACTGTTTGAACAAGTTTAAAAGATGCCTATCTAGGACTGTTTGAACAAGTTTTGAACAAGTTTAAAAGATGCCTATCTGGGACTGTTTTGAACAAGTTTTGAACAAGTTTAAAAGATGCCTATCTGGGACTGTTTTGAACATGTTTCAAAGATGCCTATCTGGGACTGTTTTGAACAAGTTTTGAACAAGTTTAAAAGATGCCTATCTGGGACTGTTTTGAACAAGTTTGAACATGTTTCAAAGATGCCTATCTGGGACTGTTTTGAACAAGTTTTGAACATGTTTCAAAGTAATTGCATAGCTAGATATCAGCAATCATATGCCAACATGCCTGTTTTCACTGAAAAATTATCCTTTTAACTTGAAATTTTTCAAAAATATTATTATAGTTGTTTGTAGATTGCATACATATCGGTAGTTAACATTGTTAATTTGAGACATTCCTCACTATCTATATATATATAAACAAATAATGCTATGTCTATGTGGGTTCAAACTAACTATACATTGAAATAACTAAATAAGTGGTATAATCTTAACTAATAATTGAACCAACTCTTGGATATTATTACTCAAGTTTTTCTTTGAATGTCTGTGAAAATACTATGTGTATGGGCTGTAAAAAAACATATTTCCCATAAGTTTAATGAGGGAAATAATATGATTGTTTAAGTTTGAAAAATATTTGTTATTTATATGCCTATATATCAAACATGTGTTGGTAATGTTAATATAAAATGTTTATGGTATTGGAAAGGGTTTTAAGCTCAAACAAAGGCTAATTTACACTGCTGTTTTAATTCAGAATGAAAGTTATCGATTTATTAGAAAATCTCTGGGAAATACGATTAACAGTAAACCATTTTCAGTTGAAGACTGACGGTCTGAATCACTCTTACTTTCTTAGTCTATTTGAGAAAAAGATTATTGTTCAATAAACATTTAAGAAGTAGTTAAAGAAAATCTTAAATCAAAGTTCACGTAATTGGATATATTGTATTTTTCTTAAGCTTGTTATGTGGAAATAATGTTTTGTTAATGTATTTGTGTATCTGCAAAAATTTCATTTTTATCATTCCATATATAGAGTAATCTGATTTAAAATGCAAATCTGGAAGTTTCATTGCAAGATTTTTCTGTGGGCAACTCCATTTGAAATTCATGATCTGACAGTATTGTTATAGGTGTGCTGTTCTAGATCTTTTATTATTCTACCAATTAAATGGTCTGTTCAATAGAATATTTCTTTATTATATGTGAGGAATTCTGGGATATTAATGATTCAGTTACTTTCTGAACACTTTTGATTGGATAAAACAAAATATTTCTTTCCTAATATGAGAGGAAATTCATTGGCTCGTATATTCTGAGTACTTTAAACAGTGATTTTGATTGAATTAACATTAATTTGATGTCTTTGGGTCAAAATTCAGAAGAACACAATATGGAATTTCATCAGATCATGGATGGCTAGTGGAGTTAACCTCAGAAAAAACATCAAACAAAACTTCTAGGTCTGCATTTTAATCAGATTGATATAAAAAAATGGTAGTAGAATTCTGGCGACACTTCCATTATCATGCTCAAAATAATTGACACCATAGTAGTATTTCACATCATGAACGTTGTGCCACTACCTAGAGAACTTTGCCTTGAAAATAGTTTAAAAGATTTATTGTATATATAATATAAGAGATGGAAATAAAGAATTAAATGAATATTGTTTATTGTTAATTTTATTAAAATGAATTCTGTACAAAAGAAAATCATAATGGCAGTTGTAAAAGTCTTTTTTTGCTAAATAATGCAAAAGTTGCTCACTCCTTTGTCTCTTTAAAACTTAAATACCCATAAAGTAGTCGGTAAGTTTCAGGACCTCTCTCATTATACTGACTTGCATTCTGTTTGTGCCTTTATTATATTGGACAAATGACTACAATAGGCATGAGAATTGGCCAAAAGTAAAGCATGCCTGAAAATCACAAATTAAGGACGGCAATTTGCTTAAGACTTACCAGTCTTGTATGCCATCCATTATCTCAATTGATAAACAATAGTGCTATTTTGATACTAGACTTTGAGCTGAGAAGATAAAGCTAACATTATATCAAGCATTATGAATCCTTACATCACTTTGTGACTATGATCATCCTTCAGAACAAATCAAAATTTAAATGGAGTTTTAGGTCCTACTTTACTCATCAGTACAGACAATGATATGGATCTTTACAAATTATAGAAATCCAAATTGCTATCCAAGATTAACAATACTTGGTTTATGTCCAGTGTGTTGAAGAAAAGTTTGAAGCTGTTCAGCTGTAACACCAGTTGAAGCACTGTTCACCATTGGATGGAAATATAACCTTGGATAAGTACTATCAATAAACCTTGAATCTAAAATTAACGTCACGTCATGATTCTTATCATTGATCAGTCCAAAAATAGTAACAGCGCCTTGAGTGAGGCCTAATTTTTCAAATAATATAGACTCGTCTGCAAATCTCAATCCACCAGGTGCACCCACCATTTTAGACAAGTCATTAAGTTTGACGTCTGCGTCATAAGGAGCACACAGTAACCATAATTTCTTCTTTTTGTCCTTCATGAATAAATTCTTTGCAAACATTCCTTCCAGATGACTGACGTGTGGTAACGCCTGTTCCACAGTGAAAACCTTAAATATAGAAATAACAACTGGGGATATAGAATATTAGGGCATGGCCAAGAGAAATCACTACTGATCGCCTTTGCTTCCTTCTATGCCTGCTTTAAATGATTTGTGTTAGATGTTTTTCATGGACATACCGTCAAGATTCCTCTTGATTTCGGATTCCTTAATATATCGAAACATAATTATTACATGGATGGTGCATCGCTCTCAAGTTTAATTGAAAGATCGTAATATAAGCGACGGGTGATGAATGCATGTATATTATCTCCCTTTATCAGTTTATGGATCGCATTTTGATACAAAAGTTTTTACTCTCAAATCGACGGGGTCAAATTATTCGCATTGTTAGCCTTGTGTGTGTGTTGATAAGTATATTATATTCAACTACCAAAGATATAAATGATAAGGCGAGTATTCTTATATTGTCGGAAAAATGCCTGGCCTGTGTAGCACTGAAGTACTTTTGTTGAAAACGTTTTCCATTTAAAGTACCAATGCCACAACGCAGCATCAACATAAATATGATAACTCTGTCATTTACCTCTGGGTGCTCCACAGTTATACAATCGATTCCAAGATCTTTGAGTTTTGCCAACAGTTCATCTTTTCCTAAGTGATGATTGGCCATGTTATTGTTTTATGGAAAGAAATCAGTGATTTACACCAAGGCTTACACAGAATTGTCTGAAAACTAACTGTACTGAACACTCGGCACTCGCGAGGAAATGCGCAAAGTTGTGTGGATTTTAGTGTAGTCTGAAACAGGAGTTGTTTCCCGTTAGCCGTTGATATTTTTTATGAGTAGAAAGTCGATGTCCCAAGCGAGTTGGGTAGTATAGTTGTAGTCTGAATATTATATTAAAAATGTTAGATTACTTCCCTTTAAATCATTTAGAAAAGAATCTAATAAAAATAATTAAAATACCAATGAAAATAAATTACTAACGAAATATGTGTAAAAAAGAAATATTTATCAAAAGTTCCAGGGCAAAACTAACAAGTTCTTGTCTGCATCCAGGCTCGGAAGACTTATTAGCTATAGCAAATGCAAACAATAACTAAACTGGTTTAAATTCTGGTGAATTTGAACTCTACTGATTTCAGTTTTCCATTCGCAAGTAAAGGTGAAAATTTAAGAGTGGTTCTTAATGTCCTGCTAGTCTTACTGTTTGTTCATTAAATTATTATTATGATTATTATATTATTAAATAAAAATTTAGTCTTATGATGACAACAACATTTATTATATAGGCCTAAAGACAATTACACTGTAACATTTTCGTCGCATTTCTATGCTAGTGTTTTGTTTTGCTTTTTCAACAGAATATAACGTATTCATCAACCATTTTCCTATATTGATATGTCTGGGATATTATTGATATTTTTTAAACCTACGGTATTCTACTTTAGGGAATTAAATTAGCCAGAAAAGATATAACGGTGTCTGATACTGTACGTAAAGAATAACAAGCAGACTGTAATTAAGATAATTTCTATATAGTTAATTAATATGGTATAGTTTAAAATATGTTCTAAATCATCCGTTCAGCTTTAAACACGTATTTCTTTAAATTTAGTCTTATATTTCTACATAATTAGTCGGACAGTGTTCTATACTTGAACTTGTCTTATATATAGATAGTTTTAAAATTAAGCAAATTTTGTAGATTACAATAAACGAACCTTGTAAAAAGGATTTTAAATGATTACCGCACCCTCTATTTTTAGGGATATATTCCGTAATCTCATGGCAACGACATGTAGGCTGCCAGCCCCGTCGCCATTAATGAATTGGAATTTGAAGAACTAAAGGTCCATAGAACTGATTTCTGACAATTTTGAGGTGCCAAAAGACACTGTTAATGAATCAATCTCTGCTGAACTGAAGGTTTTGCTGGGGCTTGATTCTCACTTGCTGGGGCCCAGCCCCCACTGACCCTCCCTAACGACGGGGCTGATGTAGTACCGATACATGCAGTAAAGATAGCCTAATTTCCCCCATTATGAGTCAACATCCCATGCCAGTGTCTTCATTAGTTTTGGTAAAGGGAAAAGCGCCGCATTTACGTCAAGATTTCTTACAGAACCAGAATGTATACTATATTGATCAACACTGAAGGCCTATCAAATAATATAATGGACCTATACATATTTGATTGTCTATGAATTATTTTGGCCAATTTCTCATTAAGATGAAGGTATGAAGGTGAAGCGGTAAGATTAAAGAATAAATTTATAATTGGACTCAACACCTTTAGTTATTGAAGATTGATAAATCACTTGTTATCCACTCTCGCTGATAATACCCGATTCTATAAACGTGTTATCATTAATCATTACCTAATTATATTGTTTACACCTCAACACAATATACAATCGTTCAAATATAATGACAATACTTTGATAAATCTATTGCCTATTGACAAAACCTGTAAACTTTATCGCAGGGTTTTAATCGAGAAAAGGACAACTCTTTCTCACCTTACTCGCTAACTACTCTACTTCCGCCCACCGATTGAGAGCGCCTGAAGGCTGTTTCTGCCTTTCTTCTTGAATTAAAGGGTAAAGGTTGTTGTTTTGTGCTGAAGAATTGTGAGAATTATATAATATCTTCCCACTTTTCTTAATTTTTGATCGATGTTTGTAACAGTTTATGTGGTTTTGTTAATTGCTGCCTTTCGTCTGTTAGTGCTTTTCAATTAATTTCCGCCTGCTTCTTAATGAAGGTGTATTCGACCGGTTTCACCTGTCCTATTTGGCAGTTAATATTTCCTTGGTAACCTTTCCGCACTGTCATACATGTCAATTTGTTTTCGTTTTAAGTGGTAAATTAGCTCATCAGGAATAACAACTTTCAGGATAGGCCTAACCAACTTTGTTTGTTTTCTGAATGACATCCTGCTTAAATATGTTGGTATTAGAAGACTGGTATGTTTTAAAAAAAGTTAACCATGGGTCGTTTTCTTACATTATTTTGCTACTTGCAAGGTTTTTTTGAAAGATAACTAGGATGTTTTCTGAAAGATAACTTGGTTGTTTTCTGAAAGATAACTTGGTTGTTTTCTGAAAGATGACTTGGTTATTTGATGTAAGATAACTAAACGGTTGTTTTCTGAAAGATGACTTGGTTGTTTGATGAAAGATGACTTGGTTGTTTTCTGAAAGATGACTTCGTTGTTTGATGAAAGATAACTTGGTTGTTTTCTGAAAGATGACTTGGTTATTTGATGTAAGATAACTAAACGGTTGTTTGATGAAAGATGACTTGGTTGTTTGATGAAAGATGACTTGGTTGTTTGATGAAAGATGACTTGGTTGTTTTCTGAAAGATGACTTGGTTGTTTGATGAAAGATGACTTGGTTGTTTTCTGAAAGATGACTTGGTTATTTGATGTAAGATAACTAAACGGTTGTTTTCTGAAAGATGACTTGGTTGTTTGATGAAAGATGACTTGGTTGTTTGATGAAAGATGACTTGGTTGTTTTCTGAAAGATGACTTGGTTGTTTTCTGAAAGATGACTTGGTTGTTTTCTGAAAGATGACTTGGTTGTTTGATGAAAGATGACTTGGTTGTTTTCTGATAGTTGACTTGGTTGTTTGATGTAAGATAACTTAACGGTTGTTTTTCTGTAACGGCTGTTTTTAGTAAAATGACTTAACGGTTGTTTTATAAGAGATGTCTTTGCTGTTTTCTAAAATATGGTTTGTTTATTACAAGTATGCTGTAAAACATATTGTAGTGACTGCTTTGCAACGTATTATAGAGTTATTCTTAAATCTAGATTTACTATGATACAGTTTAGAAAATCATGTTAGTTTTAAGCTATATAGTCGCCTGAATGCCTTGTCCTATTTAAGCTTTCCGTGCCTTTTTTCATGAAAAAAAATCGACACATATGGGTTACTTGTAAAGGTAATATATCCCTGGAAGTGTCAACAGCATAAGTATTCGGACCGTTAGCATTTTCTCATACAATTTTGATATTATTCATATCTGGTTGAAGACGTGTTAATATCGACACACACGACCTTTAAACATGAAAGACCCATACATACTTTGGAGTCTTTAGTTACTCTTTACGAACCAAATGTAACTGATGGTCTAACGCCCCATGAAATGAGTAATTATCTAAACGTATGCTAAATACATTAAAATGAACTGTTTCTGGTAAACTCATTGCTGAAATGATCAACATAACTCTATACACTGTCAAGTGTGTGTTTACATAGATTAAATAAACTTTTCTTTTACATGCTTTCACTTTTTTCTTACTTTATCTTTGGATCTTTATAACGAATTATCGTTCGTACAGTGCTTTAAATCGCATTTTTAACGCTTAGTTTTCTCTCACATGCCCCTAACCTTTCTGTCAGGTCACTGATTCCTTTCTTGTGTGAATGTCGTTTTGTGTTCTCGCATGTTTTTTAGGGTAACAAAAACAACATTTTTCCAGAAATCAAAGAAAACATTGTGTAGTTCTCATTGTTTTACAGTGCGATATTTAATTTAAATTCTACGGAGAAAACAGGAAAACAGTATGACCAAAAAGTAATATACAGTTGAAACACATCTCACGATGTTTCGATTTTTTTCGATCGAAAAAATAAATATATTTCCTAAGAAATCAAAGCAAATATTGTGCTGTTCTCAATGGTTTTTGAAGGATATTTAAATTCCACAGAACGAAACACCAAAGTTAGAAGTATGTTCAAAATACAAGTCATATATAGTTGAAATATTTCTATCGTTTCGATTTTCGTTTTTAATACATTGTCTTAGAAATCAAATACCTATTGTACAGTTCTCATTGTTTTTTGAATTCCACATGCGATATTCGAAACATCAACGTTATATTTTAATAAAAAGAAAACAGAATTACACATCTTTTTTAATTGTGAAAATGGGGTTAACAAGACATTCCAAAATTTGACTGAACGTACATGAACAATTTAAGCAATTTTTTTTTCTTTTTTTTCCAAATGTCTCCGTATGCTCTCCAAAAGAAATTTGGAAAAAGTAAAAAATTCGAAGTTGGTGTACAATCTGAAAATATTCTAGAAACGTTACTCGATGAAACAAAAGAAGAAAATGTTGATATTGTTAGATTTCATCTGGAATTACATTTACAGGTTTTTCAATATATTATATCTGTAATCAATTCACAAACTTGACTAGAAAATTCTTCACTTGACAATTTATTTTGTTAAAACAAGAGAAAGAATTTCATAAAATATCGGAGGACCACCGGGGCGAATTCAATCTTGTCTCTAAAACGTCAATCACTAGGAAGAAAAATGGTTCAATGAGAGAAAGAAAATTGGTAATTGTGTAGTTTTTACGTATTTCAAATTGACTAGTAGAATTTGAAAATTTGTGTGGGGTCGATGGTTGGTTTCACGCTAATTTTACTTGTGAAATTGTCTGAAGAAGATGGAAGTGGAAGAAGCACGCGTTCGAATCAGCTCGTGTTTACAATTTATCATGTCTTATCAATAAGATGACATTATAATTAAAGTAAGAAAAAGGTGAATCGTTAAATTAACTAGTTGGTAATTTAACCGTTACGTTACGTGATGCACAAGCAATTTTAGAAATTTTATATCTTTTGTGTGCTGCGAAATATAACAATTTGGGGACGGGAGAATATTCTGTCTTTGATTTAAACTCTTGGACCAATTCCTTGACACAGAAAACTGACATGGTATCAAGCGCTGTTCTGA